CCGAGCCCGCACCCAGCGCCTCCCAGAAGCGGCCCCGGTCGAAGGCCTCCCCGCCTCCGCCTCCGCCGGCGCCCCGCAGCCCCGCCAGCGCCTCCCGCAGCGCCTCCCGTAGCGCCTCCATGGCCGGCCCGGGGCGGAAGGAGGCCGGAGGTCCGTCCCCGGGAGAGTCCGGGCGGAGGCGCTTCCGGCCGCTCCGCTTGCCCGGCCCTCCTTCAACTGTAGCCCAGCCTCAACGCCGCGTGATGAGCGGGGCTGACCGGCCCCCCTCGGCCTTTGGGGCCCCCGACACCCCCCAGCCGCTCTCCCTGCATCCCCAGCCGCCACCGGCAGCCCCAGAGAGGCTCCCTTCTCAGCCACCCTCGGCCTGTTCAGGTCGGTTCGTTGCCGAGTGTGAGGCGAATCCTTTGCGGCTTCCAGAGTTTCACGTTTGGTTTCACGGCGCTGACAAATCTCACAAAATTCCTCCCTGCCGATGGGCCGCATCGCCCACGCGGGATCGAGTTATTCCCGGCTTCAGAAGGCGGCAGGCGCGCAAGCGGGGGCTCCCTGGGCCCCCCCCCCCCTTTCCCGACTTTCCCCCCGGAAAACCTCCGGTCCGTTTGCCAAACTTTCTTTTCCCTTTTCCCACTTTTGAAAATGGAACCCCCCCCCCCCAAGGGGTCTTTTATTTGCACGGGGGACGTTTTCGCACTGAGCGTGTTAAAATGGACGCATCCTCTGCTCCAGATTGCTTGGTGGCATTTTAACTTCTTTGCCTTATTTTTCAGCGTATAATTCTTATTTTGCGCCCCGAGAGGGTCGCCCACCTCCCTTAATTCCCCCCCCCCCAATTGAGGAGCACTGGCGAGGCCGTTCGCAAACGCGCAAACTCCTTTCCTGCGCCGGTCATCGCTGGGGATCTGGAAGCGCATTTGGGGTCCTTGTGGGAGCACGAACCCCGCTCCGAGGGCCCCCACGGCAACCCCGCCGCCCTTCTCGCCTGCCCCTCGGCCGGGGACGCCGGAGAGCCTCGCCCGCCCTGCTCGAGAGCGGGAAGGCGCCCTTCCCAGCGCTGCTCCCCTCCCCGGCCTTCCCCGCCCGCAAGCCCCTTGAGGCCCCGGAGCTCCGCCGCGCCCTGCCCGAGCGCTTCCCGGGGCTGCCGCTGGGGGCGCTGGAAGCGTGGGAACCCTTTCGGAGCGTTCGACGTTTCCGGCCGGAGCGAAGGGCCAGAGCACCGGAAGTCGCCTACTTCTCCGCAGCCACGATGGAGGCCGGCGCCGGAGCGAAGCGGAGCCTGGAGGAGCCGGACGCGGAGCCGGAGCAGACGGACTCGGAGTCGGAGGTGAGGGCCGGGCCGGGCGAGTCGGTGGGAGGTGAGGGTCGGGCCGTCCACCGACCCTTCCCGCCTCGCCTTCCCTGCAGGAGGAGCCAGCGGCCGCGGGCCGTGGAGACTTCGCGGCGGGCTTCGCGTTCTCCGAGAAGGAAGCCGCAGCAGGAGCGGGCAGCGGGGCCTGGGCGGAGGCGCTGGGGCAGATCAAGCGCAAGGTAGGCACCCGGGAACCCAGGCGGGAGCGGGGAGGGGGGGGCGGTGGAGGCCGCGTCAGCCTCACCTCTCGGCCCTCTTGCCTCGGCAGCGCTGCGCCACCAGCTTGGATGAGAAGATCGCGACGGTGAGGAGGCAGCGCAGAGCTCAGGTCAGAAGCCGCTCGCTGCGTCGCCCCAGAAGGGCCTGCCCTTGCGGCGCTTCGCTTCGGGAGGAGGAGGAGGAGGAGGGGGCGCTTTGGGCGCAGGGCTCTGGCGCGGGTGGTTGAGCAGGAGGCCTTTCGCTCTTCCGCAGGAGAAAGCGACCACAGATGGAGAAGCAAAGAGAGAGGGCGGAGAGACCACCCAGGAAAATGAGGCAAAGGCCGGGGATAGCGAGGAGGAAGAGGAGCTGCGGTCGGAGCATTCCTCAGCGGATGAGAGCGTCTTTGCAAAAGCTGGTAACTGACCTTGGCATTGAAGGAGGGCCTGCCAGGAGAGACTCCACGGTGGCCGGTCTTGGAGGAAAGCGATCTGCTGCTTTTTATAAGCTGAGCAATTGCCATAGATCAAGTATAAGATGCACCGGAGTATAAGACGCACCAAGGTTTTGAAGAGGCAATTTTTTTTTAAAAGAAGGTAGGTAGATAGAGGGATAGAGAGAGAGAGAGAGAGAGAGAGAGAGAGAGAGAGAGAGAGAGAGAGAGTACTTAGGTAGGTAGGTAAAGGGATAGAGAAAGAGAAACAAAGATAGAGAAATACATTAGGTAGGTAGGGGGGGAGAGAGAGTGGGTGGGTAGGTAGGTAGAGGGATAGAGAGAGAGAGAAAAACAGAAAGATAGAAATACAGTAGATAGGTAGGGAGAGATAGTTGTTAGGAAGGTAAAGGGATAGAGAAAGAGAAACAAAGATAGAGAAATACATTAGGTAGGTAGGGGGGGAGAGAGAGTGGGTGGGTAGGTAGGTAGAGGGATAGAGAGAGAGAGAAAAACAGAAAGATAGAAATACAGTAGATAGGTAGGGAGAGATAGTTGTTAGGAAGGTAAAGGGATAGAGAAAGAGAAACAAAGATAGAGAAATA